GAGGACCCTGAGGGCTGTGAAGGACGTCCTAAGGCCTGGCTTTTATGAGATGGAGCATTGCAGGGTCCAGAGAGGAGGGTTGAGAATTTCTGATCGGCATTTTAACAGTGTCTCTCCAGCTTCTGTTTTGAGCAGAGACGGTGGGGCGTGAGGCCAGTACAAGGAAACTGGGGTGGAGGCTGAAGCAAAGGCCCAGGTGAGGAGTGCGGAGTGAGGGGTGCAGGGTGAGGGTGGCTGGGCCCCAAGAGTTGCAGTGGGGGTGAGCAGGAGGGTTGGACTCTGTTTGCATTGGAGGTAGAAACAATAGGATTTGTTCACAGTTGCGTAGGGGAGGGGGTGAGAGACAATGAAACATAATCCCCATGTTTGGGCCTGAGCGACCTAAGAATGGAGAAGATGGGAAGACTGGGGCGGGGGCAGGTTGGCAGGAGAGACATGACCAAGAGTTCCACTCTGGCCCAGACTAAACTCGAGTTGCTGAATAGGGACATGGAGCGGGCAGGGGGTGAATCTGGCGCTCGGGGAGAGGGCCACGAGGGAGCCACAGGGGAGCCTCCGTGGCAAGGGGCTGGTCACCGCCCCGAGGCCCCATGACAGCACCAGGCATGCACAGAGATGCAGAGATGGCACAAAGTGGCCCCGGGACCCGCCAGCTTTTAGAGACGGGAGGAGGACCCGGGTGAGTGCCGTCCCCTGGAAGCCAAGCAGAAGGAGTGTGTGAAGGACAAAGGAGCGCCCACGGCTGCTGAGCACTGACAATTAGCACTGCATTGGGCAACGTGGAGGCCACTGGTGAACCAAAGAAAGCAGTGTGGGCTGCGTGGCGGGGCCAGAACCGGACCACAACAGGTTGAAGAGAGGACAAGAAGAGGAGATTTGGAGACCACAAGCTCTGACAGAAACTTCCAGCAGTTTTGCCAGTAAAGGGAGCAGAAAATGGGCCACTAGCTGGAGGGCCAAGAGAGGGGTGTTTTTAAGACGTAAAAAATCTTAATTGCTTTTTAAATTTAAATTTAAATTCTGAATAGGTAAGATATTCCCATGATCCTAAGTATCAAAGATTCCAGAGGGCCTTTGGTAATCTGCCCCCCTTCCCCACTCCCACACCCTCAGCCATTCTGTTCCTCGCCCTGCGGTCCCCCCATGTAATCAGATGCTTGTCAACAGAGTATTATTTTTCCCCTTTTCTCACAAATGGTAACATCCCATACATACTGCGCTGTGCTTTGTGTTTTTATACTTAATGTATCCTGAATATCATTCCATAGCAATACACAAAGAGCGTTCTCGTCCTCTTTTTTTATGCCTTCATATTATTTCTTTCTGTGAGGCACCATATATAGTTTTTATCCAGTCCTCCATGATGGACAATCATTTGAGATCAGTTCTATTATTATCTCTGCTTTACAGAGAGACAGCCGAGGCACTGAGAAGTTCTCGGGCTTTAGCATGCTGTGGCGTGGGAACTCCATGCCCTTAACCACTCACTGGACTCTCCTCCTCCTCCTGGGTTAGCTTCCAACCCTGTTTCTCCCTCACTCCTCCACTTAACAATGATTTTGCTATCCTTTTGTTCGTTCAAATAACACATATTTACAAGCCCTGACCATGTGCCAGACACAGGGCTAGGCCCAGAGGATGTGGAGGGACATGGCAGAGAAGTCCACTGCCGTCGAGGAGCTTACAAACTGCCTTTGTGTGTTTTTGTAAGCCACCTCGAATCTTCCATGGAACAACGCAGAGAATTAACAAAGAAGCCCAGTCCCTGTTTTTCCTAATGAGGAAACCAAACGTGCCAACAAATCACTGTTGCAGTCGTGTGAGCTGAATACCATAAAAGAAGCCTGGGAACCCAAAACACTAACTCTGCAATGCTGGCCCCATCCCCTCAGCCTGGCCCTCCTCCAGTTTCCAGTCTCAGTGAAAGGCCCACTACCCAGCCAGGGCCCAAAGCCCTCCTGCCTTTGGCTCCTCCCACTTCTGTCCCTAGGTCACCCACCCTATCCCTGGGACCACCCCCTGGAGACCTCTGGACTCTGCCCAGCTTCACCCTCCATGGCTACCAGCCTTACTCAGGCCTTCTCTTACAGGAGCCACCCAATAACTTCTTCCCTGGTCTTCACGTTTCCACCCCAGCCCCTTCCCACCCACTGTCCATCCCACTGATGCGTCACTGTGTCATTCCCCTGTTCTTACCATCTAAGGCTTCCTTTTGCCGTCCTTGGGTTAATAATGTCCTGGCACAGCCCAGTGGTTAGGATCATGGGCTCTGGAGCCTGAATCCCAGCTCTGCCAGTCATTAGCTGTGTGACCTTGAGCGACCTACTTAACCTCTTTCTGCCTTAGGTGAGGCAAAATGAGATAATGAGATAAATGAGATAAATCAGATAATGATAATTATAGACCCTTCTATATAGCTGTTGTGAGGATTAAATTATAATGATAAGGCCCTTGTGATCTGGACCCTGCTGAGGTCTCCAATCTCACAGTTTTTATCTCCCTATAAATCAGCTGAAATACTTTTAATTTCCTGAGAGCATCAAATTCTATCTCTCTCTCCCTCTTCCCTGCAACCCCTCTGAGCTGAAGCGGGGCCCAGGGCCCAGTTCTTCCCACTGAATCTCCAAAGCTGGGCACACAGTATGTTGAGTGAATCAATGAATGGGGTAGGCATTGTGTTTGGGTTCTGATGGATGAGTAGGAGTTCTCCAGGTAAACAAGTGTTTGAGGAAGGACTAAAAGAACTTGCTCCATCCCAGTGCTTGGAAACAGAAGGAAGGTAAGACTGGAGAGAAAGGCTGCATTCGGTCCAGACCTTTCCATGTAGGCAGAGGATATTCATGAAGGGAAGGTTTTTGTGACAGTGCGAGAGTCACTTAAGGAGAGACTGAGGCCAGAAGCCAGGGGTGTGGCTAAGCTCCAGCAGAGCAATGGAAGGGCCTGAACCAGGGCAGTTTGAGAGACTGAATGCCTCAATATCTCCTCAATACTTTTCCTGAATGCCTCCTAGAAATATATTAGGGGATCATGGGACTAAAGAGCTGAAGTAGCATTTCCCCCTATCTTCAAGTAGCTCAAATCCTAGGAAAAGCAGACAGACCTAAAAATAAAAATATGGATGCAGAGAAGGCCAAATTAAGTATCACTGCACCAGCCTCACGCAGATATCGCCACATGTGTAAAATCTGCAAAGTGAAGCACCATGCATTTCCGAGTGCCTCTCTCATCCACCCCAAGGCTTTTTTTAAGTTCTCAAATTTTTATTTTTTTTTTATTTTATTTGGTTTAAACACAAGCCAGTGTATTTCCACAGCCCACCAACTTTTAGAGGCAGTGTAGAGGTTTAGATGGGTGCGCTTCTACCACGTAGCAGCCCATGATCTCCGACAAGCTGAATTGTCTTAGCCCAAGCCCATGTTACCTATCATATGAAGATGAGTGGGAATGGCAGGGGTGGCAGGGGAAAGAACAAACTGGGGCTGGAGGTGTGGGTAGAGGCAAGATCCTTTTTTTTTTTTTTTAAGATTTTATTTATTTATTTGACAGAGAGAGGGAACACAGCAGGGGGAGTGGGAGAGGGAGAAGCAGGCTTCCTGCTGAGCAGGGAGCCCAATGTGGGGCTCGATCCCAGGACCCTGGGATCATGACCTGTGCCAAAGGCAGACGCTTAACGACTGAGCCACCCAGGCGCCCCCCCACCCTTTTTTAAAAGATTTTATTTTAGAGGCAAGACCCTGCAGGGCCTTGTGAGCTACCATAAAGGTTTTGGATTTATTTATTTATTTTAAAGATATTTATTTATTATTTGGGAGAGAGAGAGCGCGCACCAGCAGGACCGGAGGGAGGGGGAGGAGAGGGACAAGCGGACTCCCGGATAAGCAACACAGGGCTCTATCCCAGGACCCTGAGATCATGACCTGAGCTGAAGTCAGTTGCTTAAGTGACTGAGCCACCTAGGCGCCCCAATTTATTTATTATTTATTATTTATTTATTCATTCATTCATTCATTCATTCATTCATTCATTCATTTATTTATTTATTTATTTATTTATTTTAAGTAATCTCTACACCCAAGGTGTAGGCTTGAACTCACAATCTAGAGATCGAGTCGCAGGCTCCACGGACTGAGCCAACCAGGCGCCTCAAAGGTTCGGACTTTTATTATTAGTTTAGTGGGAAGCTACTGAGGTTGTTTTTGGGTCCCAACTTACTATCACTTTTCAATTGAGATGTAATCTGCCTACAATTAAATGCAAAGATCTTAACTATAGAGTTTAATGCGGTTTTTAAAAAGATTTTATTTTTATTTATTTATTTTTAAGATTTTATTTATTTATTTGAGAGAGAATGAGATAGAGAGAGAGCATGAGAGGGGGTAGGGTCAGAGGGAGAAGCAGACTCCCTGCCGAGCAGGGAGCCCGATGCGGGACTCGATCCCGGGACTCCAGGATCATGACCTGAGCCGAAGGCAGTCGCTTAACCAACTGAGCCACCCAGGCGCCCAAAGATTTTATTTTTAAGTAACCTCTGTACCCAGCGTGGGGCTTGAACTCACAACCCTGTTATTGTTATCAAGGGTTGCATGCCCTACCGATGAGCCAGCCAGGCACCCCTGACAATTGCATACATCTGTGTAACCCACCCCCTGGAAGAAGATACGAAACATTTCTATCAGGTCCGCCTGCCCCTTTCCAGTTAATTCTCCCGCCTCCAGGGTACTGAGGGGTCTAAGCATCCTGTGCCGGCTTTTGAGAGGATCCCTCCGGCTGCGGCGCAGAGCACGACGTGAGACCCGGAAGAAGAGAGTAGAGCACTGGCCAAGCCGGTGAAGTCTGGAACGCACCGGGGTCGCCTAGCAACCAGAAAGCGCGGTCGGAGGGTTGACGGCTCCGCCCCGGCGGAAGGGGAGGCCCCGCCCCGCCCCCGCGCGGCGTCGGGGGGCGGGCAAAGGCTTCTTATTGGTCTGTTCTCCGGAAGCGTGGGTGCGTGGCCGCGGCGCGTGTTTCGTGGGGCGGGGGGGCAGCGCGGGGTCGTGCGACGCGTGCTCGCACCCCTCCCACTGGAGCGAGGGCCCCTCGCGCTAAGCCTCAGTTTCCTCACTTTGCAGCGGCTGAGCGCGCCCCGCACGGGGTACCCGGCGCCCTGCCTCGCAGCCCCACTGCCGGGTTGGGCGGGGAGGGGCTTGGGGAACGCCCACCGCCCCAGACGGTGCGAGACTGACCCTCCCGTTCCCAGGGCCCCAGCGCAGGCCGGGATGTTTGTCCTGGTGGAGATGGTGGACACCGTGCGGATTCCCCCGTGGCAGTTTGAGAGGAAGCTCAACGACTCCATTGCCGAGGAGCTGAACAAAAAGTTGGCCAACAAGGTACTGGGCCCGCGCGGTCGCTGGCAGGCCTTGGCACCGGAGGGCCCAGCACTGCCCACCCGCCCGCCGCAGGCCTGGCCTTGGTCATGCTAAACCTCGGCCTTGGGCAAGTAGCTTAACGTCTCAGAACTCGGTTTCTTCACCGGTACACGGGATGGGGGTAATCCTTGTGCACGAAGGATGTCAGAGGGAATCAAAAAAGAAACTGAGTTTGGAAAAGGCTCTTGTAACTGGGAAATGCTAGATTCTACACTGCCAAATTACTTGGCAGTCTTGGGCAGGTCACCTACCCCTCTGGGCCTCAGTTTCCATTGGTAAAATGGAAATAATAATGGTTGTCCAACCGCGCACTGTTTTTGTGAAGATGGACAGAGTGGTTTAGAGTTAACGGTCAGGAGGTTTATCCATTCATTCCTGCAAAAAAGTATTTGTGCACCTTTTATATGCCAGCCCTACATGACTTAGTGACAGCTAGTCTGGGGCCTTCCCGCCGCCTTTTCTGTAGTAACCCTCCCTCAGTTACTCTGTGTCCTATCACTTTTTCCTTCTTAGGTGGTTATGGTTTTTTTTGCAGCTCCATGATGGCAGGGACCTTTGTCTTCTCCACACGGTACCCTCATATTTAGCCAGAGCCTGGCACATAGCAGATGTTCCGTAATTGTCTGTTGATTGAATGAACGAGGCAGACAAGGCTCTACCCTGTAGTGTGGTGGGGAGAGCAGATATGAATGAGAGGGACCCACAGCTGAGTATGTGATGACAAGTTGAGGTAAGTGCTGTGAAGGACAGGCATTCACAAGTCTGTGGAATGAAGGAGAACTCTGCCTACAATGAGGGAGAAAGCAGCTTTGTTAGGGATATGACATTTGAGCTTGAGCTGAGAGATGATGCCGAAGAGGAACTAATTAGGGGATTCTTTTTTTTTTTTTTAAGATTTTATTTATTTATTTGACAGAGAGAGACAGCGAGAGAGGGAACACAAGCAGGGGGAGTGGGAGAGGGAGAAGCAGGCTCCCCGCCGAGCGGGGAGCCCGATGCGGGGCTCGATCCCAGGGATCATGACCTGAGCCGAAGGCAGACGCTTAACAACTGAGCCACCCAGGCGCCCCTAGGGGATTCATTTTTGAGGGTGCAGAGAGAAGAGTTGGGCAGGCAGCGGAAACAGCATGTGCAAAGGCCCTGTGGCAGGAGGGAATATTTCACCCATGATAACATGGAGGAGGCTAATGTGGCCTGGGCAGAGGAAGAGAGGGGAGGGCAGACTGGAAAGGTGGCAGGAGCCAAGCCGCACAGGGCCTGCAGGATGTCATGGCAGTATTGGTCTTCATCCGTAGAATAGCAGGAGGTGATAGGCCGAGAAGGAGCCAGTAAGAGGAAGGTTGGCTGGCTTTAGACACGAGGCCAGTCCCTTCCATAGAGGTGAGGTCATAGAAGGGAGGTGTATGGATCTGGGGAATTGTTGGTGGAGAGAACTCATGAAGTCCTTAGTGGATGGCTTCCGGTTACTTTGTGAGGTAGAAGGTCAAGGGGTCTGTGGAGGGACGAAGTGTGAGCATTTTGGAGAGAGAAGGTGTGAAAAGTCCAAGAAGGGAATGTAGTCCCTTTGGGTCCTTCGGTGACCTGTTGAGATGAGTCTTCTGTATTTGAGTCATTTTTGAGGAGGCTGCACAGAAGAGGTCCGTGGTCCGGCCAAGGGCACAGATCTTGTGCTGCCGAAGCCAGTCAGACTCTGTGCCTCATTGTGGTGAGGTCTGGCCCGGACCGTAAGTTCTCTGAGCTTCTTGCTAATCGTTGAACAGTCTGCAGGGCTGTAATTGGGAGGTGATGATACCGGTGGCAGATAGAGTGACACCAGCGGGCCCGTGGTTTGGAGCGCTGTGGGTGCGGAGGGGGCAAAGGATGCTGTCTAGTCTCGGCGCCTTGGCCCTGGGTCACTCCGCCAGCCTCAGTCCCTGCGGCCACGGCTGTGTCTCCTACTTTGTGAGCGGAATGGGGGATTAGCCGGGCCTCTGACACCAAGCCCCGAGCTCTAGCATGGACCTGGAGACTTTGGGAAGTGCAGGTTTAAACCAGGGTTCCCTGGTTGTCAGTGATGCTGACTAATAATAATAGTGATCTGTGGTTGACTATTACTACTTCTAGCATGTAAGCCAGACACTGGCATGGGGCTTCACGTCCATCTTCTCTGTTTAACAAACCTGCAGCCTGGGAGGTCTATTTTTGCAAATGGGGGAAACTGAGGCTCAGAGAAGTGACCTTGGCGGTCACACAGTGGGCGTTGGAACTGGCACTGTAACCAGGATCTGCCTTGTCACAAAGGCCCCGCTCTTTCCAGAGCTCCACATCCTTCAGAGGCCCCTGACCCATGGTTACCTCAGACGGTGCCTCAACTCATTTCTGGCTGTAAAATGGGGGTAATCATTACCTGCCGTGGGTGGCGAGGGTCTCAGGAGAGCATGCTGGGGAGCCGGGCCTCAGAGTCACGGTGTGTGTGTGTGTATGCGGATGCACACAGGTCGTGTACAACGTGGGGCTCTGCATCTGTCTGTTTGACATCACCAAGCTGGAGGATGCCTACGTGTTCCCAGGGGACGGCGCGTCGCACACCAAAGGTGGGTGCCCTTTCCTCTTTTTTTTTTTAAGATTTTTTTATTTATTCATTTGAGAGTGTGCATGAACAAAAGCACGGAGGGGGTAGGGGCAGAGAGAGAGGGAGAAACAGCCTCCCCACTGAGCAGGGAGCCTGATGTAGGGCTCAATCCCAGGACCCCCAGATCATGACCTGAGCTGAAGACAGACGCTTAACCGACTGAGCCACCCAGGCAGCCTGCCCTTTCCTCCTTGGCATTGGGTTTCTTGGGGTTTGGTTTTTGGTTGTGGGAATCCTGGTCTAGGGATTGGGAGACCTGAGGCCTAGTCCTGACTCTGCCAGGAATTGACTGGGTGATAGTGGGCAGAATCTTACCCCGTCTAGGCCTTGGTTTCTTTACCTATAAGAAATGGTGGACGAGGTGATTTTTTTTTTTTTAAGGATTTTATTTATTCATTTATTTGAGAGAGAGAGCACGAGAGAGTGTGCACGCACCGATGGGGGGAGAAGGAAAGGGGGAGAATCCCAAGCCAACTCCTTGCCGAATGTGGAATCCAACACGGGGCTCGATCTCATGACCCTGAGATCAAGACCTGAGCTAAGAATCTGTTGCTACATGACTGAGCCAGGTGCCCCAGACAAGGTGATTCTGGAGGCCTCTCTCGCTCTGATTGTGGCTCCGTGTCTGTGCCCCCTTTGGTCTCATTTATTACTGAGCCCTACTCTGCCGGGCCATCAGGCTGCTCAGTCTGGTTGGGGGGGGGGGGGCCAGACAGGTGAGGGCACTTGGAATGGTCATTGCTGGATTAAAAGTGGAGAGCAGGGGTGTCTGGCTGGTTCAGTTGGTAGAGTGTGTGACTCTTGATCTCGGGTTGTGAGTTCAAGACCATGTTGGTGTAGGGATTACTTAAAATCTTTAAAAAAATAAATTAACCAGTGTGGAGAGCCGAGGGGAGTGCATCTGTCTCTTGAGAAGGAAGCTGGTTGAGGGTGGGGGACTTTGAGGGGCCCTAGGGCTTAATGGTTAAGTGTAGCCTCTGGGATTCAAATCCCAACTTGGCCCCTTATTTGCTCTGTGTCCCTGTGTAGAATATGCAATCTCTCCATGCCTCTGTTTCCTTGCCTATAAAATGAGTTAACAGTAGATTTCATATCACAGGACTGTTGTGAGAATACTAAATTAATACGTGCAAAGGTCCTAGGATGGGTCCTTGGCACATAGGGAGGGCTCAGTGGCTCATTGATTTGAACTGTTTCCCCTGATTCTGTGGATCCACTAAATGGGTTCTTCTGGGCTGGCCCGTCCAGGGCTGCGTGGGGTAGGATGGCCTCATGTGTCTGGTGGTTGGCAGACTGGCTGGTGGGGAGGGGGGCCTCACGGGGACAGCTCATCTCTGGGGCATGTGGTCTCTTCTTCCTGTAGGAAGATCCCATTGGCCAGAGCAGGTCACATGGCTGAGGTTGGCGTCAAGGGATGGGAAAATAGACTCCACCTCCCGGTGGGAGGAGCTGTAGTCGCACAGCAAAGGGGTGTGCACCCTGGGAAGGGAAGGCAAGGTTGGTTAGCGGACCTGGACGAATAGAGTGATGGTCATCTTGGCTGGGGTCCTCAGGGAGGGCGTGGGGCATTCTCTCTCCTCCCTGGACCCAGCCGAAGCAGCAGAAGGCAAGGGAGGGGCCGCTGACGTGGTTCGGGGCCAATTAGCGGGCAGGCCTGCAGCTTTCCATGCACTAGGCACTCAGAGCTGCTGAATCACAGTCTCTGGAGGTGAGCCTGCAGACTGTGCTTTATTTTATTTTATTTTTTTTTACTTTTATTTTTTTAAAGATTTTATTTATTTATTCATGAGAGACAGAGAGAGAGAGAGAGAGAGAAGCAGGCTCCCAAGGAGCAGGGAGCCCGATGCGGGACTCGATCCCAGGACCCTGGGATCACGACCTGAGCCCAAGGCAGACGCTTAACCATCTGAGCCACCCAGGCGCCCCAGACTGTGCTTTAATAAGGAGCCAGGTGCTTCTCACACAAGGCCAAGTGTGAGGAGCCCTGCCCTAGCCCATCCTGGTCAGCCTCTGGACACAGAGATGTCGAGCATTCCAGAACGTGCCATGAGGCCGCCTGGTGTCTGTGTCCAGGAATCTGGAGACTTAATTAGATTCACAGAGATGTTACCGTGCTCTGTGGACAGCCCTAGGAGCACTTAGCAGAGAAATTAAACAGACGTGAAAACAAGACCACAGGGCCTCTGTTTACGGAGAAGGATGCCCTCAAGCTGAGCCCAGTCTCTGCCTTTAGACTTGCCCTGGACAAGTGGTGAGAGGCACCAGAACTTCAACAAAGACTGGGAGGAAAAAGTTAAACTTGAGGAAATTCTGTTCTTTCATTTGGTTGTTTCTGCCACTTGGTGTAAGATTGGTTTTCATTGTCCCCCCACCCCCAGTTCACCCTGGGCCCCCTGGTTCCTTGGGAATGAGATGTGAGGATTAGGGCCCTGGGTGAGGCATGTCACATGGACCCAGATTTGAATTCTGGCTCTGCTCCCCGCCCCCTGCTGGATGCGGACCTTGAGCAGGTAACGCCGCCTGTCTTGGCCTCGGGTTCCTCATCTGTAAAATGGGGTCAACACTTGGAGCTGTGAAGCTCGCTGTGGTCTGCGGAGCGCCGTGCAGGGTGGTGCTCTGTTGTGGAGATCAATGCCATGCTTTAGGGCTGATCTTCTACCCTGGGCCCTGTTCCTGCCGCCCCCCCAGCCCACTGCCTCACCCAGGGCTGTGGCCAGGGTGTGTGGAGGGAGGCCTCAGCCCCATGCCTCCCCCTTTGTTTTGAGGGCTTATTGTCTTGTACTTCCTTCTCCCCGGGCCGGATCACTTCACCTCTCTCGGACGGTAAGTGCTCACAAGATGTCAGTCTCTGTGACTTGTGACACTGTGCCCAGGTGTCCAGCCTCAGCTCTTGTCCTTAGGGTACTTGGACATGACACCAGTGCCCTGTTACCCTTGTCCCACAGGATGACTGGCCCCGGGGGGAGCCCCTCTTGACCTGCTCGGGGCTCCAGAGTGGACTCTCCTCATGCCCACCGTTCGCTTTGTTCTGTTTTTGTTTAAGTTGTGATAAACTATATATAACATAAGACTTACCATGTTAATCACTTTTAGTGCCCAGTTCAATGGCATCAAGTGCAGTCATTGCTGGGTAACCACCACCACGCTTTTCATCTTCCCAAACTGAAACTCTGCCCCTCTTAAGCATTCACTCCCCGTTCCCCGCAGCTCCGGGCCCTGGAAACCACCGTTGTGCTTTGTCTCTATGAATTTGACTACTCGAGGTACTTCATACAGTGGAATCATCCAGTCTGCCCTTTGCAGAAACTCACTGCGTCCCGAGGCAGCCCTGCTTCTCCTGGGATTTGGCCCGAGCCTGCCCCCGAGAGCGGGTCTTCCTCTTACTGATCCTGCAGCCCCATCCTTGTTGACTCTCCCGGCTCCCGTCTGCCCACTACACACCCCGGAACTTGAGGTCGGGCTCTTGGGAGGTCACTCCAAATACGGCCCTGGCCCGGCTGGCCCTCCCGCTGGTCTGTGGCCTCCTTTTTGTTTTTAATGGAGCTCTCATTTACATGCCATAAAATTCACCCTTTTAAAGCTTACCATTCGGTAGCTTTTAGGATATTCAGTTGTGCAACTGTCACCACGATCTAATTCCAGAACATTTTCCCCACCCCCGAAAAGCAACCCTGTACCTACCAGCAGTCGCTCCTCCTGCTCCCCTCCCCCAGCCCCTGGCAACCGCGGATCTACTTTCTGTCTCTGGGTTCACCTATTCTGGGCATTTCATATAATGGAGTCACACGGTATGTGGTCCCCTGGAACTGGCTTGTTTCACGTAACGTAATGTCCTCGAGCTTCATCCATGTCGTGGCAGGTGTCTGTACTCCCTCCCTTTTTAAGGCTGAGTAATATTCCGTTTTGTGGATAGACTGCATTACGTTCGCCCCCGCTTCTTCCCTCGTGCTTCCCGCCTGGTGGGGCACGGAGAGGCCGCCCGGCGGGGAGCTGGGGGCCCCGTCGGCCCTCGGGTGGCGTTGGCAGAGCGAGGAGCTGAAGGTGCTGGTGGTGGGAGCCTATGTGGGGGTGAAAGCTGTCCGGGGAAGGTAGATTCCACCCTGTGGCCGTGTTTGGTGGCGCAGAAAGGCTTGGAGTCCTCCCCTGGCAAAGCAGGACAGAAGAGCTGAGTGGCTGTGAGCAGGTCCTGCAGCCCCTCTGAGCCGCTTCCCCATCCTCACGGCGGGGAAGCGTGACAGCCGACACGGGTGGGTGGCGGTGGGCACCGTGTGACCGGCAGGATGTAGCCTCACGGTTATTCTCTAGCTCTGGTGGGGGTCAGGCCAGTGCTGGTCACCCCTTTGGGGCTGTCAGGGGCAGGAGTGATGAGGTAATGGCTTCTGCCAGGCCCTGGGGGTCTGCCGAGTTGGGGACCACCCAGGGCAGGGCCTGCAAGCCCACAGAGGCATTTTTGTTGGCTTCTTGCCTCTGCCTTCCCGTGGCCCCGTCCATTTCAGGGCATTTTTAGCGTCCTATTCCAGGTCAGAGCTATGCCTGGGGCAAACTTTCCCATCAGAGGGAGACGGAAGACTTGTTTCCGAACCTGGCTCCCTTTGCCGGTTACTTCTGCCCTTTCTAGAATTTAAGGGAGCGAGTCTAGAGGAAGGGTGGAATTGACTTTGGAGTCATCCATGGCCCAGAATCTGGGTTCAGGAGTGACTTGTCGGGTGGGCTTGGGGGCCAGCCCTCCGTTCAGGGCCACTGCTGTTGGCCTGTTACGGGGGCCGTGCTGTGGCCCTGCAGGGGACGGGGTGTGGGTCTCTGCGGCTCCACTGGTGGGTCTGGACCCACGGAGGGACTGGGTATGGAGGGCCCAGCGGACTCCGGGGTAGCCATGGGCCTCCGGGTCAGCGGGCTGGCGAGGGTGGTCAACACTGGGAAGCCGGGGCCGCCGCAGAGCAGCCGTCCCTCACGTGCCTGCTCGTCACTGACATTCTTCCTTCACTTCCAGTCCATTTTCGCTATGTGGTGTTCCATCCCTTCCTGGACGAGATTCTGATTGGCAAGATCAAAGGCTGTAGCCCGGAGGGAGTGCACGGTAATGGTGGCCCTGATCCTCAGACGAAGCCTGGGAGCACGTTGGGGCAAGTGGCCAGGCCAGCAGGCCTCCCTTCAGCTTCCGGGCTGGGCCACAGGTCGGGGGAGGGGGGCTGTCAGGGAGCTGCGGGGGGGAGGGCAGCACACAGCCCCCTCGTGCTCACGCAACAGTGAAGGCCTTGGCCAGCTGCCGGGCTTCACCGTGAGGCCTTCCCTCAGGACCGTGGGCTGGACACAGCAGCTGCCAGAGGGGGCTCGGGGTCCCAGGCACCCTCTGGTCCCAGTTTTGCATGGTGTCCACTGCAGGTTTTGGTGGCTGGGTGGCCTAGGCGGGGGCGCAGGGCTCCGAGGTGGGGGTGGGGGGCTCAGATTTCCGTGGCGACAACTGCCCTTGTCCCATGCTGTTACTTTCCCGTGTGTTCCAGTCTCTCTAGGGTTCTTCGATGACATTCTCATTCCCCCCGAGTCGCTGCAGCAGCCAGCCAAGTTGTATCCTCCCAAGGTTAAAGTGGGTCACAGGGGAGCTCAGGTCTTTCCAAAGGACAGTCCCCGCTCCTTGGGGTGACCCTGGGGCCTGGGATCTGACACTGCTGACCTTTGTGTCCACCCCCCCCGCCCCGGCCTGCACTCGTGCTCCAGAAGCTCTGACCTGCCCATGCTCCCATGCTAACCGTGGTGTCCCCACGACCGTGCCCCCGTCTGGGCTCTCATGCTCTGTAGGTGGCGTGCTGTCCCCTTGGCTTAGGTTGTCCTCTCAGGGATCATCTCGGAGATCCCCTCCCTGGAGAGGTTTGTTCTGATTGGCTCGCCTCCCCGCTTCCCTGCTATGCGAACGGTACCGTCGGCTGACGTTTGAGGGCTTGACTGTGCCCGGTCCCGGCGCTGGGTGGTTCCCCTCCGCTGGCTTCCCCCATTGCGCTGCCCCAGCCCTTGCCTGGTCGCCCTAGGGTTGTCTGTTTCTGGGGGTCCTCGCTGAGACTGCTCCCTGGAAGGGACCCCATCTTGTCAGGACCGTGTCCCCAGGACCCAGCAGGGGACCGGGCTCCCGAGGGGGGGCGGTTAAGGCGTGGGACCGCCACTAGAGGGCGCTGTGGCTCCTCGGTGTGGGCTGGGGGAGGGGTTGGGGCTTTGGCGGGAGCCCGGGGCGCCACCCTCACTGGTTCATCGGGGCGCTGTGGCTCGGCCGTGCGGGCCGGGGCAGGGTCTGTGGGGCACGCTGGGGCTGGTCAGGAAAGCCGGCGCTGCCCGGCTGGGCCTCTCGCCGGCTGTGGGCCCTCAGGCAGGTGACCTTCCGGCGGCCGTGTCCGGCCTGAGCACCGGGAAGGTCCTTGCGCCGCGTGTTGGTCACTTTCACAGGGCACAATGGAAAGGGGTGCGGAGTCGGGCCGCAGAGAACATAGCGCAGCTTCGGCCAGCACCCCAGGGCCGACTGCGCGGGTCCCGTGGAAAGCACTTTCTGGGAGCGCTGCGTCATTACCTCCTCACCGCAGCCCTGCGGGGGCAGGCCTCGCCACCGCCCCTGTTTTACACACGGGGCCCGAGGCTCAGAGGTTGGGCCTGGCCCGGGTCATGGCCGCTGGAGCGGAGGTCTGAACGTGGCGGCTGGCCTGCGAGGACCGGGCAGCAAGAGGCCTTCGTCACTCCTGCCTCAAGAGGTGGGGCTCGCTCTGCCCTCGAGCCTTCCTCCTGCTCTGGGGCCCTGAGGATGCGTGTGCCCGCCTGGCTGTGGTGCCGGCTGGGGGGCCGTGTTCCGCAGCGTTCCCGCTCTTGCCTGTGGGGCCCAGAGCGTGCCCAGCCTTGCCTCATTCACGCACGCGGTGTGGGCCTGCCTCTCCGTGACACCCCAGCCAAGGGGCTCTCATCCTCGGGTGGGGTTTGCCGGGGGGAGGAACCCCCCGCCCCCGCGGGCTGCCGCCTGCCTGGTTGTTGCCTTGACCCCGCGCCCCGCCCAGCGACGAGGCAGAGCAGGTGTGGGTGTGGGAGTACGAGACCGAGGAAGGAGCGCACGACTTGTACATGGACACCGGCGAGGAGATCCGCTTCCGGGTGGTGGACGAGAGCTTTGTGGACACGTCCCCCACGGGGCCCAGCTCGGCCGAGGCCACGTCTTCCAGTGAGGAGCTGCCGAAGAAGGAGGCGCCGTACACGCTTATGGTGGGACGTGCACGGGCCCCGGTGTGGCGGGAGAACCCAGGCGCGGGAGCGGCTTCCTAGGGTGTTGACTGGGGTTCCCCGCCTGGAGCCCCTCTCCCCGCAGGTCAGGGCGCCGGTCCCTGATGAGTTCTTAGGTGGTCACTTCTCCCTGGGGAGCCTGTTTCGGAAGCCAGGGCATAACACTGGGAGTGTCAGACTCCGGACGGCAAGAGGGACCGAGCCCTCGCTGGGTGACAAGGCTGCTGATGAGCAGGCTGAGGGAGAAAGCAAGCGGGGAAGGGGCGTGGGAGCGGGTCAAGCACAAGAGTGGGGCTTCGGGGAGGGGTGACCCTCCGTCGGGGCTGCTCCCACACCCGACCAGGTGTGCGCATGGGGTGGCAGGGGAGCTGTGACCAGACCTGACCGGGGTTCCCTGGGTCTTCTACCCTCATGAAGGGACTGTGATGCAGGACAAAGTAGGACTCATTTCTGGGGCCTGCTAGGAGGGTTTCCCGGTATAATTGTGCTGCAGGTGGTTTGCTTTGGGGGCCGCTGTGCTTTGTCAAAAATCTGGGTGGCCGAGGGCATCCCCTCTGCATGTTTGTGGAGGCTGGGGCGCGGGGTCACTAGGCCTTCCTGGCAGGACTGAGAGCATGCCCAGGCCTGGCCTGCCGGTGGCCATGTTTGGGCAGGCCTGGGGGTGAGGAAGGGAACCTGACCCAGCTGAGGCCTTGGGGCCAGAGGCCATGCCCTTAGAGAACCAGCACTTTCCTTAGAGGCCCCAGGAGAGGTTGGGGCAGGAGAGGGGAGCTGGGCTGTGTTCCCCGGGGGCCAGCTGGGAGTGCTGGGGAGGCCCCTGGATTTCGCCCCATCCTCTTGGCTGGTGTGTGCTCGCTCCACTAGTCCCTTTGCCTGTGCGGGGCGCCCGGAAGGGTGGGCCCCTTTGCCTCCCGAGGTGGCTCAAGCCCTGAAGGTAGATGAAATGTGCTTGTTTTCTCTCTCCCTGGGCAGGGATCCATCAGTGAGCCGGGCCTGGGCCTTCTCTCCTGGTGGACCAGCAGCTAGCCGTGGGGCTTGACGGCGGACCTTGGCCAGTCCGGCAGACCCCAGCCCAGCCCCGGGGAAGGTGGCGCAGCCGGCCGTGACCACCACGGCCGCTTCCGCAGATGCCGAGGAGCAGAGTGCGTGCCCCGCCAGACGAGCTATCCCCGAAGTCACGCTCTCCCTCTGGACCTCTGCCTCTTGGCGACGGCGCACGCTTTTAATAAAAGACGGTATCCGTCAGGGAGGAGCCACCTTTATCTCCGTGATCTAAGGTCACCGAGCTGCCACAGCTGGGACTGCCTGTCCTTCCTGTGCCCGGGTCACTTCTGCAGGTGACCTGCCCCCATGGCAGGACTTGGGGGTTGAGGGCCTCAGGCTGGGCTCTGGGCTAAGCTTGGTGGCTCCCTAAAGTGACTGAGCGAGCGGCTGGCCTGGGTAGCTGCTAGCTGTCGCCAAGTCTTGACCTTTCAGGGACAACCGCCTTTTTCCCCACCAGCATTTGGAAGGCAGGGGCCTGGCCTCAGGCAAGCCAGCGCCGTCAGGGAAGTGGAGGCCGTGGGCTTAGGTGGCCCGAGGGCCGGGCTGGCGACCAGCTGTGTTATCCCCCACCACCACCCCCGGCAGGACAACGGTCACTTGCAGACCTCGGCCACGCCAGGAATACTCCGTGGGCCTGCTGGCAGGGCCAAATCCCAGACGAGGGTGCACAGCACCTTGTTTACTCAGCACAAGGGCTCTGCCGGGTTCCTCCTGCCTCTTCACTCACTCCCGCAGGACCCGCAGGCTTGTCTCATGGCGCCCACAGGACACCGAGTTTCCGTCCGGCAAGTCTCGTGCTGAGGAAGGGCCCTCCCTGGAGGCCGCCTCTGCTCCACGGGCACCGGGGCGTGGGTCCTGCCCGGGGACGGCGCTCCAGGGGGAGAAGCAGCTGCAGAACGATGCCCGCCGCCGCGTGGCACCGCAGCCTTGAGGGAGGGGGCTGAGTCCATGCCCAGGGGAAGGACACGAGGGGGGCCATGCGGATGCGGGGGCGCGGGGAGGGGAGGCTGGCCCAGGGCGCAGGAAGGTGGGGCTGAGAAGATGCGGGAAAGCAGCCTTCCCACTTGAACTTCGTGGCAGTGGCAGGTCTGCTGTGGCGTGGCCAGTGGGGGCCTCTGCCGACAGCAACCCGCCCCGCGCCCTGTACGGACACCACCACTCACACACACGGACAGTCACCGAGTTTGGATTCTTATTTTCCTTGTAAGAACAAAAGTTTCTTTAAAATCCTTGAGCCACCAGTGAAATGAGGCAGGAGAAAAACTTTAGATGGGAGTCTTGTCATCAAAAATAAATACAGTTGAATGGAGCTGCTCAAGATCTGAATCAAACTAAACATGGGAAGGCAGGGGGGCTGGAACATTCTTTTAAGAACCCCCCCCCCCCAACTGTGGGTCACTCGGCGGGCTGAGCACACCGTCTTGGAGCAGGAAGCCGTGGCTGGATTGGGGTGGATCCAGTTCTGATGATGCGCGGGCTGCACTGGGGTCCCCGGCCCCGGGTCCAAGGAGCAGGCGGGCAGGGTGTGGAGCCGGACCTCAGTGCTGCTGCAGTTCCTTCATCCTGTTCAGAGCACTGCCGGCACGGAACCACTCGATCTGGGTCTCGTTGAAGGTGTGGTTCAGGAGGATGGTCTCCTGGGTCCCGTTGGGGTGCTTGATGATGCATTTCAGGGGCTGTAGGGAGTGGGGAGAAGCGGAGTGGCTCTTAGGAACACGGCCCTGGATTCTGCTGCAGGGTCAGGGAGGTGGGGTGCACGCAAGGTGAACCTCAGGGGCCAGCAGGCAAACCAAGCTCTAGGCCAGGTCTGGGCTTGGGTGGCCCCAGTTAAGACCTGGATGGCGGGGCGCCTGGGTGGCTCTGTCATTAAGCGTCTGCCTTCGGCTCAGGTCATGATCCCAGGTCCTGGGATCAAGCCCCGCATCGGGCTCCCTGCTCAGCGGGAAGCCTGCTTCTCCCTCTCCCACTCCCCCTGCTTGTGTTCCCTCTCTCGCTGTCTCTCTGTCAGATAAAGAAAATCTTTTTAAAAAAAGACCTGGATGGCATGACTCCCAGGGCCAAGAGGGTCCTGCTCTGCGTGGGCTGTTGGCCTGAGTGCCAAGCCTGCCCTAATGAGTGGGGCCTGAGCTGGCTCCACCCTTGTCTCTGGGATGGCACTTCCTTCTCTCCGAGGGGGTTGCCTTGACAGTTTAAGGGCCCTTCCAACTGAAACAAAGGCTCATGGGAGGAGAAACAAGGGGGGCCAGAAGTGGGTGTCCCCGACCTGCCCTCCCTCCCTGGCCCCCTGACCTTGCCAGGAGCAAAATCTTTCAGGCCCTGGATGGTCAGCTTGTCCACGGGGTGAATCTTATTGTAGTCGGCTGGGTCAGCGAAGGTGAGGGGCAGCAAACCCTGCTTCTTCAGGTTGGTTTCTAGAAGGCAGAGAGCATACTGAGTCATTCCACAGCACGCAGGGCCAGCCCCCCCTTCTCTGCACAGGGAGCCTCACCAGCCTAAAAGCTTTCTTTTCTAAGCCCAGTGAGGGCTCTGGGAGAGGGACCCTGGTCCTGCCATCTGGAGACAACTCTGAGCAGAACCAAAAGGACCAAGGTGGCTATACTCCCAATGACAGGGTACCTTCTGCCTGAGCCTACGTAAGCGTGCTGGTTTGGGTCTCCGTTGGCCTTCCTGACAGATATTCACAATCAAAATCCTCTGACCACGTGCCCTGGATTTCTGCTGCTTAGGTCTGCAAGTTTGGAAGCAAGTTCCCATCTTGGGAAGCCGTGGGCCTTGGACCCAACGCAACTCAGAAGGGGCAGAGATTGTGGCGGAAAACGGGAGCTGTGGACACGGCATGGAAACCAGGCGCATGGCTCCAGGCCTGACTCCACCACGGGCAGGGTGGGTGACCGTGGGCTGCCAGGGAGGGGAATCGGATGTGGCGGGACCCGGCTCCACCTTACCATGGATCCTGGCAAAGCTCTTGGTGATGATGGCCCGGCCCCCGAGGTGGCGAGGCTCCAGTGCTGCGTGCTCCCGGCTCGAGCCCTCCCCGTAATTCTCATCTCCGATCACTACCCACCGGATGCCATGTTTCTGTCAGGCAAGTGAGGCGGCCATGAGGGAGAGGACGCTGGCCCCCTGCCTGCCGGCCCTGGACTTCCTGAGGTTCACAGGTCAAGGGGCTAGAGAGACCCCTCCCTACCTGCTCCCCAAGGGCTGGTGAAATCAGAGGTGAATCAGGCCCCAATCAGGCCCTGAGGGGACGGAGGTGATCAGACACAGGCCCTGACTCTCTGCAAGGGGCAAGGGAGGTGCCACCTACCCATCAGTACTCAGGACAGAAGCAGGCGTTGGGGGAAGGCCAGTGTGGGATTGGAGCAGGGGCATGTGGTGAGGGTGACACAGGACTGCCCCCGTGGCACCAGGGCATCCTTCAACTGCAGAGCTATTGGTGTGGGCCCCTGGGGGGAGAGCACCCCTTCCCTGCATCCCCGCCCCTGCCCCCACTGACCAGGACCCACCTTGTAGTAGCGGGCAGTGTCAGGGACAGGACCAAACTCCTGAGTGACGGCGTTGCGCACGGAGTTGGCTTTACCGTTTTCGATGTTGATGGCGCCAATGAGCAGGTTATTGGAGATGTTGTCCAGGTGCCCACGGAACTTGAGCCAGGGGCCCGCAGCCGAGATGTGGTCGGTGGTACACTTCCCTTTGACCTTGGGTGGGTGAGAAGACAGAGATCAGGGCATGGCGCGGGAGAGGTGGATGAAGGGAGAAGCCCTCTAGAGGCTGGCAGCAGACCCAGCAACTGCGACCCAGGAAGGGTGACAAGGGCAGCAGGTCTGGCTTTGGACACACAGTCTGCCGCCCTGGCCTTGCCACACTGTGACCATGAGGGCTCAGGCCAGACCGTCCCCGACCCCTTGAAGGCCCTGCACTGCTCGGTGACTTGTCCAGGACAGGACACCCACAGGGGGCAGAGGCTGGACAGGCAGGTCTGCTCATTCACCCTTCCGACCTAGGCCCCCAGGCAACTGACGCCCAGGCAGGAAGACCAGCCACAGACCTCATGCTGGACCCAGAGAAGCCCGAGGACGTGTCCTGGTCCTGGCTGGTCACCAGTTTTATCGATCACGTGGGCTTAATACCGGCTGCCACTGCCTGAAGACCCTTAGTAAACAGCAAAAATCCATGCCTGACATGGGTCTGAGGCCTCTGGCCACACCACAGAGGCTTGTGTCCGCTCGGCTCCCAGACACGGGCCAGACCAACCGATGCCCAACTGCGGGAGCAGAGGACTCTGTGGTTTCTGCAGCCTGTGTGGTCAAGCCGGAGGCGTGGAGACCTGGTGCTCTTCTAGCCCTTCCTGTGCCGCACCCACGGCCCGTGGCCGCTGCAGGTGACCCTCACCGGCTGCCGCCGATGGCCAAGCACCCCAGACACAGCTGGCCAGAGCCAGCTCGGCCTGGCATGGGGCGGAGGAGAAAGGGACACTGGGCTGTGGAGGCCCTGGTTCCTCTGCAGCCGACCTCCGTGCCGGCCGCCGCCCCCCACCCCCAGCCTGACCTTCCCCAC